GTATGATTAGCGAAGTTTTCCATTGATATGAAAAATGACTAGATTCCAACGATAGGGTGAGCATGCTCTTGAGGAGCAGTTTTTATGTCAAGCCCCCCTAGTGCAATGTCAGATGGCAGAACCCAGCTTGGAGGATGGCTTTATTGAATTATTTTGTATCGATTTCGCAGTTGAATATGTATATGTGGGCCTACTAATATCAAGCACCCATCTTCCGTCCCCACCTTTCACCATGCTTTCAGTATTGTGCAATCTTCCACCTGCACGTCATATTTTTTATCTGAATTCTTTACTTTCCGAATGGTCTTTCTGAAAATGCTTGGCGCGTACGTGAGGCCGCACGCGGAATACGCTATCCAAACGTGGCAATCCTGGTTGAAGCACCATCTCACAACACAGGGCGACAAAGAACGTCCGAGGTTTGTCCCTCCTTTCCTACCCACTCAGACAGAACACTCCCAAAATGTGCAGCGGCCGTTATCGGCGTCTACGGAGAGATCTCATAACGGTGTCTCAGATCCTGAGAACCCCAAACACACGTGCCATTCTCTATTGAAACTCAGTCAAAACACATCTCTAAGGGTCATCAGTATAAGCTGGTCATGCAGTACAGCCGACTGGAATGTCGACGAAAAGTTTTCGCCCTCCGAGTGTCACATCCTTGGAACGCTCTCCCGGCACATGCAATTAATGCCCCCCACTTTACTCCTTATCAAAGAAACATCTTGACAATACTCTGACACATTTATACTACGTGATATACAGACGTGATATAGTCCGTGACTATCGAATGATGGCGTTAGTGAACAACAAACAGTGGGCGGCATTACAACCCGCTTACAATCCAGGCATGAATAATCGCACATGTGTTACTCCAAACCCCTTGATGAGGCACGTATTACACGCGTAGTTTACTGACAGTTATTTATTTTGTAATTTCCACCTTTACCATCCTACGGGACATATCAAACATTTGCTTTAATACCCGTCATAAACCATTGCTCCAAATCCCTTCGTCGTTGGAACATATAGTATTCCTTCCGGTCTAACAAAATAGAACCTCATCCTTCCCTTCTTACCTAAGTTATACACATGCCAGAATGAGATATAATCCGCTATTTATGGCACTGCACTTGCCATTTATTACGTCACTGCTATATAAATTATGATGCATCTCATAGTATGCCTGTAGCCACTAATCAATCTCCTACAAGGAATTTGTCTTGTGTTATCATGAATTACATAACTATTGTTATTATTTCATGTATCCATGAGTAGGGGATTTCAATATAGATGATTGAGGTTGGTTACAGCCAGCTTCCAAATCAGATAGTCTTCCACATACCCGGAAAAACACTAGACTACAGTTTCAGCCCGTTGGGCATCATCAGTAGTGCGCATCCATCGGATCCATCAGGATTCGAACCCATGACCACCAGCGATTTGCACCGCCAGTCAGCAGTTATGCCTCTGTGCCACGAGGCACAGCTTCGGACTGCCATGATTTATAAGGTAACTGCGATACAGCGCGTATTATCCTCCACTGATATGCAAGTTACGAACGTTGCAGAGGACAGGGTTGGCAGTGGAGGATAAGATGCGTTATATCACAGTTAGCTTGTAAAACATGACGGTCCGAAGCTGTCCCCCGTGGCCCAGTGGCATAAGCTGCTGATTGGCAGTGTAAGCCGCTGGGGGTCATGGGTTCGAATCCTGATGGATCCGATGGATGCCCAAAAGGCTGAAGCTGCTGTCTAGTGCTTTTCTGCACATGTGGAAGATTATCTGATTAGGAAGCTAGCTGTGACGAACCACAATTATCTATTGTTTGTTGTATTGTACTCTTCTTTCATTGTTGGGCGCGACTTGACCTATCACCTGAGGGGCCACTGTGAATATTCTAAATGAGTCAGTATACACATGCAAGGCGAAATTCCCACAAATCCAATGGCGGCGAGAAAAATGCGTTATACACAAGAGTTAAACGGGCCGAATTAGCAAAGTGGCCACCTTTATTGAGTAGAAAACTGGCTGAAAATATGAGTAAACGCGGTAATGGCCCCATTGATTTTAGACTATACCGGAACGTGGCCAGGTTGGGTTGAAGTGCTCACCCTAATCACATATAAAAATGGTCTGAGAGATGCATCAAAGCGGTGATGGATTGCATGCTTTGACGTCACACTGGCACATTGCCAGATGGGCGTGGAAGTGCAGGTGAAACCTTCAGCTGGAGAACACCGCATGGAAGCATGGCTGTATTACTTTGAGTGAGTGTTTGATGGTTTCATTTTCTCTTTAACATCTGTTGTAGGCCTTGCTCAGTTTTATTGCATTCGTCCCATTTTTTGGTTGAAATGGGGTAACATGATGGTATAATCCGGATCATGCCGGATAGGGCATGTCTCGTGAAAACAAGAGTATACAATATTATAATTATGGTTATTTGATAACTTGGTGGATAATGTTGAACGAAATACTGTCCCTGCGTAAGACATTCTGTACTGTACATTCTGTACTGTTCACTCTGCGCACACAGGTGCACGGTCAGCTTCGAGATTTATGGAAGTGGCGAAGAAGTAACTGAATACTTCAAAGATTGCAGCTGGATTTTGAAGTAAGCGGCCATCACCATGGATAATTTTAGTACGCAAAGGACATCGATCATTGGTTCTACGAGGCAGTATTTTTACAGTTTCCTCTATCTCGCATCTTGTTCGTATGGCTATCTTTTCCATTTGTTTTGCCATGCTAAGGGCGCATTTTGACTCTAGTGATAAATTCCAGCATTTGTGAGATCAATGAGGAGTCGTTAGTCTTGATGAATCTTGCAGATAGTTTCCTGGTGTTCTGGTCAGCTGATTGCTCGACTCAATAATGTATGTTTGATGGCGTCTTTTGAAACATGAGTACTACGTTCACCCTGTGGAGCAAGACGAGTTATGGCGAAACAGGTCTGATAATGGAACTGTTTAACGACACCGTGTACCCTTGTATACAGAAAAAAACATCCTAATCAGAAAACCGGATTAACTATTGAAAGTATTTGCAGTCTGTTTTGTGGATTGAAGCTCGCGGTGTAGAAGCGAGTCTATTGGCTACTTTAGTGCAGAAATTGTGTTGCATCCTCTTACAGTGGCTGCCAGGGAAACTGTCTAACATTTCGATCTGTGCGTTGAGGATCCCAAATGTGGCTATTAAGTCCAGTACATTGACTGACTAAATTGGCCTAAAAATCCATTGTGTCCAACACCCCGACACAAAAGCGACGATGGTGGGGATAACCATCGGATTTTCGGTAAACCAAATTACCAGTAAATATCTTCTGTTTGTGCAGCAACCCTAATGCATAGTTAAATGCAGAAGTGATATTGTCGGCGCTCAAGTTAAACTGTAGCACCTGAAAGACTAACCCTGATCTTTTACATACAATTTTATTACTAAATGATTGTCGAGCATTCCTTGCTGTCTTACTGCTCCCCACCTTCCGCTCCTATCTCCTCGCACCCATCCGCTTGGTGAGCTACTGTTCTGATGTTCGCTGGCTTGCCGAACAACCTCCTCGTGGTGCCAGCTGGGTGGTTCGGGATTTTCCCGTTCCAGCACATGGTTGGGCGGCAGTGTTCCAGGACGTGGTGAGTTTTCGCCTAGCAAACGTTCTCCCCATAAAAGCCACATATGTCCGTTTAACAACACTGTGACGTGGCGGACGTGACTTGCCACTAAATAAAGTCACTGCCCCTTGCTTCATCCTAGCGAAGCATTGTATTCCAGCAACATCATGCTGTAATTCTGGGGAGCATTGGGCCCCTGTTTGACAAAGGAACAAACGAAAGGCGTATGAACTGAGCAATCAGTCACCGGCTCCCAATGGGCGCATTCCCTGAATTCGCTCAGCTGCCTTGCGGGCAGGCTATTCAGCCAAAGGCTCGGGGTGGTGTCCCCTAAGTCAACACCCTATTTCGGCTTGGGCAACCGGGTAGTATCTCGCCCTCTGACGAAACCATGAACTTTGATGTGTTGTGTTGCGTTTTCTTTTACTATTTCTGTACCTTCTTTTGAGTCCCATGGTTTCTGATGGCTCTTGTCTATTCGTAGACTGTTGCTAAATATATATATGTTCGCTTCTGTCTCGCTTCATCCATCCACGTCTTCTAGTCCGCTGTGTCTGAATTCGTTTACCTTCTGATCTTCGTGTTCGACCAGACGCCCTGTCTTAAACTGGTGAATACTAGTCCTGTGAGATGCATTCGGTGGGCTTTAGATACAGGTGAACATTATTTAAGCGGAGGGGGCTTCAGCTGACAGCTAAAGAAATGCACGGACAGTTTCCATTTGTGGATGGTCTACATGCTTCGTTGTAAACGTTCCGTGTATATTTATGATAAACTGCGCTATTGCTGGTACAGAAATCTTTTAAAACAAGGTGATGATTTGGCATTATCAGAGTAAAACCAAGATTAATAGAGAAACACCATGTTTCCTTGACAAGAACCACTTGTGGGTCACTGAACTGCGCAAGTTTGATTAAAGAGACATATTTACTTATTGTGAATTTGGTTGAAGGGAAAGCTGAAAGTAAAATTAGTTGTGATGATACTAATAAAAGCTTGTACTGTACACCGTACAGTTTATGGAAACAGACAGTAGCAATCGAAGGGTTAAAAAAGGAACACAACGGTAACCAAGCGCGTATCTTCAAATGCGGATCATCGAGGGGTGTTCAACAACGTTGGATAAAACCCTTAAGGCTGCTTATTGTCATCAGCTGACTGAAACGTTGTTGACGACTCTAATTAGGCTAGAAACTTCCTGAACGCACAAACAGTCTTTTATAAAAATATAATGTACTTTTAATAAAAATATTACTCAAAATGATGATACCCATTTGATTCGCTCACTATACGTTTATAACGGAGGGACCAGATCACAATAAATGTATGTTGCAAATGTTATCACTGGAGTAAGAGGCTTTGAGCTAGGTGAACAAGGAAACTGACCTGAGAACTGCTTTCGAACCTTCTTCATTGGGTCCAGCCACTTCTGTAATAAAATTAATGCGCACATGTTGTGGAACTTTTAGTAGACATGGAGGTCAAAACAAACACAGATGGCTATCTGACGGGACCACGTGAAATCCAAAAAGTTTCACTAGCACCATACCGGCTGAGGCAACAACTCACATGGATTACTGAACTCACAGATAAGCATACATTATTCGTAATACTTAGAGAGTTGAGGTTGTTATAGCAATCCGACAACTGAATATTCACACTTCGGGGGGCATAAAGCACATTATTGACTTGACTTAAAAGATATGGTTGGTGACTGTATACGATCTCGGCGTCCGAGAATAGTGTAGCGCACGCACAGTACCGTTGGAGAAAAAGCACCCTTTCGAACGACTCTGGGATTCCGGAACAAAACACAAACACCAACTACGGCGTGAGTAGGGATGTTGGTAAAATAATACTCGAAATAGAGTCGAGGATCTTGCTAAACCAACCCAGCTGATGGTCCACCACTTTAACTTCTAGCAGAAATCAGCTTGACTATTCACGACATCAAAAATTGCAAATAGCACTTAGAGAGCAGTCGAACTTGGCCACATATAAGTAATAGGCTGCCGTAAAGCTGCTTCTGTGCTCTCTGGCTAGTGCTCCAGTATCACAGAAATTAAGCGCGGATTGACTCGGTTTCTTAACAAAATGCCTACATTTTATAGATCAAACATACGTCCCTATGGAGATGTCCACGCTTCCCAATATACTTTTGCTAGATCTCGATACGCGACTGTATGCCGAGTGTTGACTGGTCGTCATAGTATGTTTGGTAATCAGCTCATGTGACCACTTATGGACTGCCAAACTTGTCCAAGCATTAGTATTGAATAGTAGAGGGGTTTGTTGTATTTTGGAGAAGACTCGTGACAGCTAGAGTCAGCCAGAGAGCTATCACATATACAGGAAAGCGCTGGGCGGCCGTTTCGTTCTATTGAGACTGGTCAGTAGCGCGAATCCACCATAACCTCTTGGATTCGAACCCATGACTTTACTCCTACGAGTCAGAGACCTATACAACTGAGCCATGGGTGATGGCGGCGAACCGCCAAGCATTACCGCGCCATACGGCCGTGTATATACATCCGTTCGGTGTAACCATCGAAAAATGATCGTGAACAGAAGTCCTACTCCGTTTTCACAACAAGTGTAGAAGAACATTAAAGTAGCATTGTTTATGGAATTACGAGCCAAATGTTCGCGATGCCACGAAAGTAAGATGTGAGCGAAAAAAGGAATGAGTAGGAGCACTCCTTACTCGGAATTGCAGGGCTTTAAAGTAGCGAGCGAAATTCTAAAAGCCCCTCAATTGGTAGATGACGGGCTGGTCAGGGACTTCTTGGTTTGCACACCTGCACCTGCAGGTATTGGGTTTGATACCAATAACAGAGCACTTCCGTATTCAAGCACCTTGCTTTCATTGCTCTCCCAAACTCCTAGTTTGAAACGAAACTCAGAAACAGTGGCCATTTCCCCTTGAAATATTTATAGCGGTTTTCTTTACATACCACACAGATAAAAAAGGTTGGCCGTTGAGTTTTTCAATTTATCACTAGCTTTACCACAATAACTTTCAGTCCGTAGCTTTAAGGATCACAAGCCTACCGCGGAGGCTGTACTGCAAAAGCTGACGTCTCTACGCAAACACAGCTCGCCGGGTGTCGACACCATTCTTCCAGAGGCACTGGAAGCAGCAGCAAGCCAACTGGCAGGACCTTTAACTCAGCTTTTCCAGCGCTGCTTATACCAGAACCAAGTTCCCGCCATGTGGAAGCTTGGAATAATAACTCCGATTCACAAAGTTGCAAGCAGAACTGATCCCTCCAACTACCGCCCAGTAACCCTTCTTCCTATACTCTCCAAGATCATGGAATCCATAATTTCCAATGCACTGGTGTGCTATCTGGAAAACTGCAACATCATCGCTCCTGAGCAGCACGGTTTCCGTCGACTGCGGTCATGTACAACGAATTTACTAATCGCACGCAGTAGTTGGATCGAGGTAGCTGATGCTGCAGAAGGTGTTGATGTGATCTACCTGGATTTTTCCAATGCTTTCGATCGTCTAGACCATCGGATACTACTATCCAAGCTGCAGCATTACGGGATCGGCGACCCTCTTTTAAGCTGGATCGCCAACTTTCTACTTCAACGGCAATTATTGGTCAGAGTTCGGAGCTCTTTATCGGACCCCATACAAGTCGAGTGTGGTGTGCCGCAAGGCTCAGTTCTAGGTCCACGTTTGTTTTTGGTGTTTATTAATGACCTTACACAGGGAATCGCTTCAAACTTCCTAATTTTTGCCGACGATATCAAGATCTGGCGCAGGATCCAGGCGAACACCGACCAACATGTGATTCAGAGCGATTTAGATACAGTGTATCAATGGTCGACCCAAAACTTATTGCATTTCAACGTCAATAAATGCAAGGTGCTTTCCATCCGACATCAGAGTAGCTACTCATACCGACTCGGAACGGATGGACTGCATCAATCAACTCTCGAACGTGACTTGGGTGTCCTGGTTCGAGATGATTTGGGTTGCTCCGGGCAATCCGAAAAGGCCTCGAAGACCGGGACCAACACGTCGGGCTGTTGCGACGGGTGTTTGGACAAATAAACAGCTCCATATTTTGACAAATACTCAGTGCGTATGTTCGCCCTCATGTCGAATACGCAATTCAAGCCTGGCATCCATGGCTGAAACACGACCTTAATGCACTGGAGCAGCCACAACGCCGGGCATTTAAGAACGGAATTGGAATGCGTAATCTTTCCTACCAGGAGAGGCTGCGACGACTGAGATGGTTCAGTGGAAGCTGTCGCAGACTACGAGGTGACCTGATTATGGCATACTTGATTCTGCGAGACCCACATAATGTGTGCCGCCCTTTAGTGCAACAGCAGCAATAAAAACCTGAGGGGCCACTCATTAAAACTCGCAGAACAATACAGTCGTCTGGAGTGCCGTAGAAATTTCTTTTCAATTCGTGTCTGTCACCCGTGGAATGCTCTCCCAGAATCGGTCGTCTCTGCACCGACAGTAACAGTATTTAAAAGACGGTTGGACGATGCACTCATCCACTTACACTTTGTTACTTAACACTACGTCTCCATCCTATGCCTGGAGTATACCATGGAATTATTTGTTGTTAACTGTGGGTGCTGTGAATCTAAGAGGATCGCAGGACTACAGCGGAGCAAAACATAAGTGCTCATTTTCATATTTAAATGTTTAGCTATTTTACTATCCTTATCATCATTATTGTTGTGTTGATATCCCCACCAACTATCCAACGGGACTTGTAAAGCAACGCTCCTTAACCCGTATAAATTTATTGTTCATTGCCGTCTGAGAACGCGGGTTCAAGCCTTCGTATAGACCCGGAGTGATTGCGCTACGCCTGAGCTTACAGCAGAACAACCCAGATGTGTGATGTATAAACCACATACAACCAACAGATTTTTGCGTCGTTAACAAGGTATACTCTCACTCTGTTACCAGTTGATGTGCTTCGGTGGACATCGCTAACTGGATCATGACACAAACAGAGCACATATGTAGTGCCATTTGTGTTCTGGTGCAGCAGATTAGGTATTAAAGCGTGCGGTTGTTTGTCATTAGGTCCTTTCGGACGGATTTAAGGAATGGAGCAGACAGTCAATCAATTTGTTACCAGGCATAAACAGGACAGTTAGACAGGCTATTCCACCTGTTTCCAAGTGGCACATCGAAATTGTCCAGGTTGCTCAGCAACGCGACCTAGCTGTGCCCCTAAATAGGGAATTGGTATTCAGCTCGCGTACAGCAATGCTTAATAGTTGGTGCTACGTGAACGCGACGTACAGTCTCATGCGGTAGTGATTAGATGGGTGGTTTGACCTGCAGAACAACCTCGATGTTGTACAAACTGGGTGGCACGAGATTGTCTCATTTCAGCAAATGGTTAGATGACAATATTCTAGGATGGTATGGGTTTTTGTATGGCAAGCGTTCTTCCCATAAAATACCACATACGTCGGTTTGACCTCTCGCTTCTCCCTAGAGCACCATTGTATCCCATTAGCCCGCTCCTGAGATTCTGGAAAGTATTACGCTCCTATCTAACGAACTACCAAACGAAACGCGCATGAACTGAAAAATCGATCGCCGACTCCCAACGAGCTTGGTTTCCATGACTTCACTCCTCGACCTTGAGGGCAAATTATTTGACCAAAAACTTAGAGTAGTGTTCCATAAGTCAGCTTCGTACTTCGGCTTGGGAAACCGGGTAGTATGCTGCTTTCTGATAAAACCATAGATTGCTCTTTGTTGTGTTCGATTTTTCAATGTACCTATACCTTCTATCGATTTCCATCATTTTTGTTGGCTTCATATCAAAGCGTAGATTGTTAAAAAAGAAATATTTGGAATACGACCGAAGAGGAACATCCAAATACGTTTCTTGGAAAAGACGCAAATGGAGAGCGGTGCAATAGAATGAAAATAACTACCACGGGTGGTCAAGTCAGTAGAATCTACTGAATACCAAGTGCTTGGGCTAGATAAACCGCTTTCGTTTCGAGTCCACGGTATGTCGCTTACGTATTCAGATCTTAGCGCAGACATCCAGCGAGTAATCTTTACCCAGGTTGCCACATGAAGGAGAACAGCTTTGCCAGTAAAATCTAATTTGTTCTGGGAACGGTGCAGCAATTATCCCTAAGACAGTTTGTGCTTGTTTCAACGTGACCAAATGCAAAGTCGTAAGCATACCCCATCAGCTTATCTATGAATATCGACTTGGGGACCAGCAGTTGCAACGTGCTTTCCAAGAAAACGACCTCGGGATGATCGTGCAGGAAGTCCTTGGTTGCTCGAGACAGGCTGAAAACACATCAAAATAGCCAGTCAACATCTTGGACTCTTACGGAGGGCTTTCGGCAATTTTGAACCATCAATCTTTCCGCAAATACTGAATGCCGACGTGAGGCCCCACGTGAAATATGCGACCCAGGCTTGGAGTCCCTGGTGCAAGTGCGACGTCGATGCAATTGAAGCTCCCCAACGTAGAGCGACCAAACTCGTTAGAGGATTGTATCATCTCTCCTATCAACGCAGACTGCAGTGCCTGATATTGTACAGTGGTGTATATCGACGTCAGCGAGGAGACTTAATCATGGTTTACTTAATACTGACCAACCCAACTCACCCATGTCGCAATCTGTAGCAGCTGAGCCAAAATACCAACCTGAGAGACTATCAGCTGAAAATGGCTACGCACTACAGCCGACTTGATTGTCGACGAAACGTTTTCTCCCTCCATGTGTCCCGTGCCTGAAATGCCCTTCCGACTCACGTTATCCTTGCCTCTACATTAACGTTTTTCAAAAAACGCCTTGATGAAATGCTTTCAAACTTGCATTACTTGATATAGTCCATTCCACTTGGAGGACGAAATAACGCAAAACTAACCATGTACTTAACGGCCACTCCGCAACGTGGTGGTGAGAATACATGCAGAAGTGTCCATGTGATTAGCCTGGATGTAGCTAAACTGGATTAACAAACCACATCTGTCAAATGAAGAAACAAACGAGTGAACGTTGTGGTTTCTATTTTTATTTCTCACGCGCTTACTGAACTATAACAGCTCTCTATACTATTTTGCGTGGGAACATCTCGTTCCCACTTCAAACTATCGTTATGCATTGGTTCATTTAACTCGGAGGACGCTTGAAATAACGATTTAATTATTCCATGATCCATCACATTTTAATTTTTACTCCAACCATCCTACGGGACTCATCGAACGAATGCTTTTTACCCGTGATAAATCCCTGTTCATTGTTCAAGAACACTAAATGTATTCAGGATAAGTGTGTTTCTGCTCATCCAGGGAAGTTGAGCTGGGATGAGAGAAGAGAGATATATTCAGTAATGTTACACTCAAGACAATAAACCCCACACGTAAATTGCGCTGAAGATTGGCTACCGGAGCAGCCATGGTGCTGATTCGTAAGTGGAAGCAGATAACCTTCTTCCAATTAACACAGATAGAATTCACCAGCGCCTACTCAGAAATGACCAGTATATACAGCCTGGTAGACACACAAGCTACGCGAAAGCAACGGTGTGATGAACCACGACCAAATTTAATTAAGATAGTTCCTTTCATTTAACTGTTGATGTTCTCATCAAAATTGGTACTTTGGTTACAGAATCTGTGTCACTATTCGGAGTGACGTTGTCAGTACGGGTTGTCAGCAGTTTCATTGCTGGTCATTGTAATGCGCCAATCTCCAACACTGTAACAATTAAGCGGTTTACGTAAGTTAACAGGACTCTGAAACGGTATTGTTGTTCAAATTATTGGACAATACTTGGAAACGATCAAGTCCAGAGGGGTATGAGAACAATCGGTTGGTGTATTTGGTAGACAACGTCTTGCTTTGCTCTTCTGGCAAAAGCAAAACGTTGCTTATCAATTAAACTAATCAATTGCTTTTAAGCGTTTTTGATATCCGTTACGTTTTCTACTCAGTAGTCTCTATGATACTTAGTTTCTAATTGACCATATTGGCCTATAGTGGTCACAGTGCATCACTAATGTAGTTCGCAGTATTTGATTGATTACTTCCAGGTATTGTGAGCAAGAATCGCTGAAAGAGAAGAAGGGATGTGTCTATCAACCAAAAACACTCTTCTTCCTCATAAATAACAATAATGGTTTGTCTTGTCAACCAGAATATTTCTGTTCATCAGGTCCAAACTTAAATAGTGGAGTACAAAACCATATCTATGATTATGACCTCACATCGAAAAAGAGATGGCACCATTCGGACCAAAACTCGTCAGCGACCTAGAGGACACCGTTCATGGACGGTCAAATTCTTCATCATTTACATATTGCAACGTCCATGGAGCGTATTCCAACGAACATCGTGTCTAACATTGGTTTATTGGGTTCACAGTGAATAGCAAAAGGTCGCTTGCGCACCCTTGCATTGCGAACTAGCCTTCAGGATAAGGGGTCGTGTTGGGCTCTATCGCTCGCCAGCATTTAATAGTTCTCAAATAAGGACAAGTCTGTAGCAGCAATCATCTTCAGCAAAAACACCATCAAAATAGCAGAAAGCAACCCAATATTGGCATGATTTTTCTGTCAATATTAACTAGTTGTGTGACCATGTATTTGTTGTTTAATTTTGTAAACCAGAAATAAACCAACCAATATATTTTCCGCTTTTCCTTTTCGCGTGTTGAACACCAAACCAAAGAAGTCCCTCTCAAGTAATTCCAAGTAATCGAACGTCAAATCAAGCAGGGCCTGACCGCGACAGTGCTTCTGTAGGCGCAAGAGAAATGAGTTAAATTACAATTCAAAGTACATGCTTACATCCACTTTGAACGCCACACACGTAGAGTCTAGTAGCCACACGTGACACAACATTGTGTTCGCATACGCTGTGTGCTGAGACTGTTCAGCCTCGGCGACATTATAACGCCCACTGTTGAACATGTTCAAGTCACGTGTTTCTTCCTCATCACGCCAAACAGTGACGGTGAGAACGGTGATGAATCAGTGAAGAGGGAGGGCACTATAGCAGAACAAGATTTGCGACTTCCGTCATTTATGCGTACACTTGACTGAAAAAGAACAGGGAGCCCTTATGTTGGTGGCTAGACAAAATGAAATTTGAGCTAGCTTGAAAGAAACGTCAGTGCTTGACTGATGGATATTGATTAACGAGCATGGCACAAGTTAACCAGGAAGTTCAAACAAACAACTTGGGAGGTAGTAATTACGTTCGGTTATACATATAAATGCAACTTGTCCTACTTTTTCACTAATGCTTGGGAAATTTCATCACAAGAAACCTTGTCAGTACATCAGAACAACTTTAAGATGGCATGCTTCAGGACAACATCCGTCGTCGACTGCCAAGAAAAGTTTTACAAGTCTGAACAAGTTGCAAATCACTTGCTACCAGACCAGGACTATAGGAAAAATGTTGTAATCACGTCCTTCTGTTGTTCCTGTAAAGTTCGAATCCTGCATCAGGTGGACCAGAGAAACCTACGTGGTCAAAAGTGTACGTTTCTTTCCTACTAGTTTGTTGCATATCAGGAGGGACGTAACAAGAGTATTCACTGATGACCGCAGCACCGTATGGTAACAAATGTTATGTGAGTGATCAAATTGTTGGTACTGAAAATACTTGTCCTAAATTCATTTTGTCCTGGTTTGGAAACTTACTTCCACCGCTTTGAAGCTTTTCTCGGAATGAGATAGTGAGCACAGATATTGTTACATGTACCAATGATATCCAGGCTTTCCACATGAGGACTGTCGCATAGTCATCCAAAAGTCCCAGCAGTTTGAGCAGCGATCGCAATATTATTCGTAAACCGAAGTAGTCAGCTCATTGCTCGTTATTTCGCACAGTGTCATGCTGTGTGATACACTGAAGTAGTGAATTCTAACGGTATCAAAACACAGTTGGCTGTTACTATGTCACCCAGTACTTCAGCCTTCGGAATAGCATTTGTATGTGAAACACTCCCGTATCAACTTGTGGTGGACCAAGGCGCTGACTGAAAAACGGAATGTCGGTTGGAGTTTGCAACGTATGCGGCCTATTTAGCAACATTTCTATCCATTACGATGCTCAAATGGTCAGGAAGCCCGCTACAACACCATGCTACTGAGGAGAATAAACTATTTATTTATTCAGTTAGTTATTTAGTTATCTTTCATGAAGATGCGAAGTTGGGTGTTTAAACGAGGATAAACTAGCTATAGTAAAAAAAGTTTGTGTTTTAAGTCTTGCAACGCTTTCCAAATGGAATAATCTCTTTTTCTAATAAAAGCAGCACCTAGGTGTTTAATATCTTGAAATATGCTAGTAACCAATCAAAAACTTAAGATTTTCGTAAGACATGAAATCGACTTAGGTAATATCGAAAGCATTAGGAGGGGTTGTCATCCGCACCCGAATGGCTGACTGCTGAGGCGTTAGAAATTGTCAAAGCTAACAGCTACCTAAACAGATTGGATGCAGTGGAGTTGTCGAATGTGTGGCCGGTTGTCTTAAGGCGACCAATCTGAAGGGCGTAGGTGGACGGTTCTGAGACAAAGCAGGAACATCCAACCACCTCTACCCCCATCGCTGACTGAGAATTACGTGTGATGACATGGTACAACAAGCCGCGATCACTAATGTAACACTTGAAATGGCACTTTGACCTGTAACATAATTAGCATCCAACTTGCATCTCGGTGGCTGCGATTATTGTCCTCGCTTGCCAAAATTGTCCCACCAATCACCACCAGGTTCACTCGGCCTAACGAAGCTTTTGCGTCAAAAGTGAAACATTATTCCCCAACAGTAGCAAGGTACTTTTATCATGAATGTCGTGGCTTGCAGATAGTCGTTCATCGCGGTTAGAAAATATTTAATAGTACGAGCGGAATCACATATAACATTTAGCGACTTAAAAGATGGCAAAGTTACAGACATGGCTATCGTGGTTACTGGTCTTAGTCTGATGGCAGTGATATAAACAGTAATCAGCAAAATTATTCAGAGCGGATTAGCATTTAGTAAATGCCGTTTTGAAGCTAACAGATATTAACTAACAAACTATTGTTTGACATTTAGAGTGAAACCAATGAAACGTAGCAAGTTCACGTGTGTTTTCACCTAAAAACGGAAGGAGCAAAACATTTTGAAACAAACTTCTCAAATTTGAATTAGTGAATTTTGTCTGCACAACAGTGGAGACAGAAATGGTGAAAAACAATGTCAGATACAATATATGTTCCTATTAGCAGCCGATGCATTAGTGCCTGATGTTGAGTTTCAATGGCGATGGCGAAGGCTTTATGTCTTCTCTGATTGCTGCAAGAAAGCATCGGACTATTGCAAATATTCATCAGACAGTTGGGGACTTCTGACCGTTCTAAGAGTATTAAGTTTCACAAAGAACATGCAGTTATGTACACAGAGGGACTAGTTACAGTCTGATGCATACAGCCTGTTTGCCACTTGCATCCAGTGCCTCTCCAGATGTGTTGTAACTATGTGTTGGTGTACACCTACCATCATCATCATCATACACGTTAGCTAGAGGTGGGGAACACCCCAGCTACTGTGCCGCAATACATAGAAAAAAGGAGAAAAAATGTAACTGGTGCAAGCCGGCTGAGTTATCGGTAACGGATGGGCATCGTTCCGGTAAGCTACCAGCCGGCTACTGTGCATCAAAAAAATTTCTATGCAAAATTATATAAGGCTAAATAATGAGATCGTGGTTGGAGGGGGAGGCTAAGAGGGATGGGGTGGGACAAAGAAACTCACAGCACGAACGCCACTGAGGTCGGCTCCTAGCCATATCAGCAAATGTGTCCAACCAAACGTGTTCATCGTCTTTCGGACCCCAACCAGGGAGCCGAGACGCTCTAACCGAGGCCAGCTTCGACACGAGGACCTTCATTCCTCTCGACCAAGTCATCGCTTGGCCACCTCTCCTCTTCTTCCATCCACACCCCCGGGTGCGCAAACAACGCACGTCGCGGAAGTCGGTGGGCTGGCATGCGTAACACGTGGCCGAGCCATCGGAGTCTGGTGCGTGAAATGACGGTGCTGAGCGGTTCATTTCCTTTTCTTGTGCCATAAACAAGGCGTCGAACACGCTCGTTGCTCACGCGGTGTTCTCACCAGATGTGAGTTAAATTGCGAAGGCACCGGTGGTCGAACGTAACTAGCCTCTTCAGGTCCGCTGCTTTAAGCGGCCAGGTTTCACAACCGTACAATAGGGTCGAACGTACTGCTGCATTGTACACTCTACCCTTCAGGGCAAGAGTGATGTCGCGCCGGCCCCGCAGATGGCGAAGGTTAGCAAAAGCGCCCCGAGCTTTTGCTATACGGCTCGTGATCTCATCCTCAATCTTATGGACGTTGATACAACTTCCCAGGTAGTTGAATTTTTGAACGACTTCTAACTGATGCCCACCAACGGTCAGCAAAGGGGGCGGTCCAGACCAATCGTACACCTACGATGAAAAAGTTGATAAGTGTACACACTAATATTTAAAGTAGAAACAGACTTTCCAAATTTGATCAAAAAGCATATGGTTTGTACATTTAATTCATCGCGTTTCACGAGTGCCTAGACATCATAAACACAAATTTACTGCATTAAGTTCACACTTGCTGTTGCGCTGATGTTAAAAAGGTAACCAATGGTTTGTGATTTGCGCCATAGTACGATGTCGTTATTCAACAGATCTTCAATTACCCTGACCCCAGCAGTAAACATTAAACATCTACACTTCCGTTTTTTGTGACATTGGATTTTATGCTTGTTTGTATCGTACAATCCTCCATTTGTTTTACTGATAGTACATCCGGTTCATTTTTGCCTTCATCGCAAGTCTCACTCTTAGACTGTCTACTCTTTCTTAACTGCCGTCCATTTGTTTTAGCTCTTGTCAATACACTTTGGGTCCAGCCCATCTGACTGATCTCCGTAGTATCGTAGTTGGCACGACTCTTGCGTGTCACCGATTGTGACCAGTATCTGAGTAGCACCCCACATACCCCAGGGTTCCACGTCTGATGAGGCTAATGCTGCTTGCAGCAGAACCAGCTGTGATTTTTCGGTGACAAAGACTTCCGGCGGCATGCAGTGCGGCGACTGCAACCACTGGTGCCACCAGCGGCGTACTGGTCCGACTGCTGATCAATACGCAATACTGTCTACCAACGACACTTTGCTTTTTAGCTGCGTCAGTTGTTGTGGACGTAGGCTAAGCCGTCCGGCTTTGGTCCGTCGAGACGCCGAAGGTCTTCATGTTAGACAGCGAAGGGTGGAACAGGGAGTCAATATGTAGTACCCCAAAAGATAACTATCTTTTGTGTTCAATTTCATTGTTGACCAATTGTACATTAATCTCATTCTGTTTTCATCTCTCTTACACTCTGGCCATGTTGACCTACAACCCGCTCGACAGTCGACTGCTCGATAATTTGCCTTACTGTCTTTCGCTTCTGTCTCGCCTTCATCAGTCCACGTCTTTTGTAGCCCCTCAAATATAGTCCGCTGTGTCCGACTTTATTTGCATTCTGACATCTGCGTTGCTTTGCGTGCACTGTCTCGAACTACTATTTACTAGTCCTACAAATGCACTCGCCACTGTGGTCACTAACTTTGTCTACAAAATGGATTTGATTATGAAGGGTTGCGATATACCCAACACTGGAAGCCAACTTGTAGCACCGACCATGGTGTCAAGTAATCCGCTTGCAGCGGGTCACATTGATAACGCTGCTGTAGGTTGCGTGTTTGGCTATCCCCGTAGCAATATTGAGTTGCGGGTTCATGAGCTGGCTAAGGTAAAGCGAAAAAGAACCAAAAATTTGCAAAACCCTTGCACCTACAGTTGCCGCAAAACCGAAGAGAAAACGGCAAACACCATCGTCATCGGTAAGCCGATTAGTGATTGTAAGATCACAG